TGTTTTCAGCTTTTGAGGCATACAAGAAAGTTCGAGTCATGGACCCGTCTGAAGTTGTTGATCTTTTGAAAGGTACGCGACCGCATTTCCCTCGCGCCACCACATTGGATGTTCAAAGTGAGGGCACCTTGAAGTGCGATCGGTAATTCTCTTTGTTCTATCTCGTACAGATATTTGGCCGACGTATGAAGCTTCAAAACCACAAGATGCTTTTGAGTTCTTATGCGTAGTCTTGGAAACCTTGAAAACAGAATTTTGGCAAAATTTCAGGATGAGTCGTAAGTACAAACCACGCAGTGCATGCTATGAAATAATATATTTTATGACCACTTTGCTTATTGAAACGATCATTCACTTAATTTTAGTCTACACATCACCATCCAATGCACCACCCCGATCGACTACATACTCGGTGGGTTCACCCAAATAGAAAGTGAGAAATTATTTTACTAGAACTAGTAGACCTACCTAGACTACTACCTGACCCTACATTCATTTTTCAGTTTGTTGTGACAGTTGCAGGGTCACTTCTCTTACCCTGCATCCATTCACTGTTTTAGGTTTGTCGGTTGTTAGCCAGACAATTGAAGAGTGCATCTTAGACTAATTTAAAAACGAACCGCTAGAGGAGAAGTGTAAGAAGTGTGAAAGAAATAGCCTACAGAAGAAAACAGTAGTTATAAAGCCACCCAACACACTCATTCTGCATTTGAAAAGGTAAGGACACTGACAAATAATGTTCCTTTTAGGAGAGATTTTTATGACGTCATTTCTTACAGGTTTTCGCAAGATGGTTTTAAAATTTCTACTCCAATTAAAGAGGCAATCACAATTAACTTACAGCCAGTGTTTGTGTCAACCTGTTCTCACACTGTGTACAATTGTCTGGGTAGTATCAATCACAAGTCTGACAAGAACAAGAAAATAGATGGAGGACAGTACACTGCGTGCTGTTGCATTATTAATACATTTCTTTGCATTCTATAATACTTTTAAGTGCCAGTAAATATAATCTTGTTTTGTATCATCTGCTATTTCATTTATAGCAAATTCATACGTTATGTTTAGTTTTTCATATTGTACTGTATGTACTGTGTCGCTTGTCTTTTGTCAACCTGTCTTTGTGTGTGAACCTGTCGAAGAAGTCGGTCCAATAAAGTGAAGTCATGCAGTCAATGCTCGTTTAATTTGACTCATTATTGATCATCATACCAATTTAAAACAATAGGTCATGGGCCCAGAAGCATCCCTAAGCGACCTGCAGTAGAAGAAGAAGATTTAAAACCTTGTGAAGAAGAGAGAAGAATCTGAGAAGAGAAGAGACACTTGTTGAAGACCGGCGTCACCTGCGAGAAGTGCAACAATGGCGGCCGGCGGAGAGAAGCTCCGAGAAGTAGAAATTCTGTCTGGGACGAATTATTATCCACGGTCGAGAAGGATTAAAGCCGCCCTATCACAGAAGAGATGGTGGGAGGCCATCGAGCCGGGATACCAAGATCAGGACGATCCTGAAGAAGAAGAATGGACGCAGATGATGAGACAGCGCAACGAAGATGCTCTGAATTACATCATACAAAGGTTTGACGATTTGAACTTGTACAATGTGGACCAGTGCATCACAGCCAAGGTAGCTGTTGTTTTTCAGCAAATATCACACCCTATTTGGATTATCCAGATCCGACATCTGTCCAACAGGCAATGAAATGCCCTGATGCAGCAAGATGGAGAGATGCTATGGATGATGAAATATCCAAACTACTGGACATGGACACTCGGAAAGTAGTGCCACGCCCACTCAAGAAAAATATAGTGGATGGTAAATAGGTGTTCACGAGAAAGATAAATGAATATGGAGAAGTAGTGACATTCAAGGCTCGATGGGTAGCAAGAGGCTTCTCATTAATTCCTGGTGTCGATTTTCAAGACACTTATGCTCCTGTAATAAGAAAATCAAGCATCAGAATGTTACTTTCTCTTGCTGTAGAGAAAGGTTGGTGTGCTGATCAAATTGATGTGAAGTCTGCATACCTAAATAGCAAAATAGAAGATACAATATACATGGAACAACCCCATGGTGCTGAAGTATCTGACCCCGCTGAATATGTCTGCAAACTCAACAAGAGTATCTACGGGTTACCCCAGAGTGCCCACAACTGGTATGAAGAATTGAGCTCAAAGTTAGTTGAGAAAATCAAACTGAAACAATCTCAACATGACCAGTGTATCTATTACAGTGAAAATCTAATTATTGGATTTCATGTGGCTGATTTCCTACTCATTGGAACAAAAACTGAAGTGGACCTTTTCAAGAAACAAATCAGCAAAATTTTATCAGATGAAAGATCTGGGAAAAGCCAAAATGCTTCTTGGCATGAATATAAATTTTGTCAACAAGAATAAAGTGACTTTGGATCAAAATCATTACATCAATGAAAGGCTGAATACCTTCAGAATCCCAGAAGAGGCAAAAGGGCTGACAACTGTCCTGAATCCTGATTACAATATAATAGAAGAGAGCCCATTGTTCGATGAACACATCTTCAGACAAGCAACTGGAACATTGTATTCGGGCAACAGTACGAGGCCTGATATTGCTTTCGCAGTAAGTGCTTTATGTCAGAAGAACAACAAACCCACCAGAAAAGACTGGGTTAATGCCAAACATTTAATGAGATATTTGAAGCAAACTCAAGATTTTGTTATCAAATACAAGAAGACAGAAAAACCACTTGAAACCTATGTTGACTCTAACTGGAGTGCATGTAGATCAAAAACAGGGTGGATATGTGATTCACCTGGCAGGTGCTACAATCACCTGAAAAAGCCAAAAACAGCAATGCTCTTATGATGCTGAATACATTGCACTGAGTGAGTGTGTCAAAGAGGTTATTTACCTGAAAGGTTTACTGAGAGAAATTAACTTTCCTGAGTATGCCATTAGTCCGTCCATCATCAAGACAACCAAGGTGCCATTAAGAAAGCTGAAGGTCAGACCAATACTGAAAGGTCTAAATATATTGACAACAAGTACCACTTCATTCAAGAAGAAATTCAACGTCGGAGAGTCAAACTGGAGTATGTCCAGTATACTGAGAACCACGCTGACATCTTTACAAAGCTCCTGAGCGGAAAGAAGACTAAGTATTTTGTGGAGAAATTAGGTTTTGTTGTTCAAACCAGTCATAAATAGTTCATTGATTGTGACCTTAGCCTACCTTACCAAATATTGTGCCAAACTTTATCATATTAGTTTTGTTTATCAATATTTGTTTTTAATGTTCTCTTTGTATTAACTTAGTTTATAACAAATGTTCCTTGTTTTGTACTAACCAATTGTGATTATTTTGATTATATTTCTTTTCAAGAAGGGGTGTTGTATTATCAATACATTTCTTTGCATTCTATAATACTTTTAAGTGCTAGTAAATGTTATCTTGTTTTGTATCGTCTGCCATTTCATTTATGGCAAATTCATACGTTATGTTTAGTTTTTCATATTATACTGTCTGTACTGTGTCGCTTGTCTTTTGTCAACCTGTCTTTGTGTGTGAACCTGTTGAAGAAGTCGGTCCAATAAAGTGAAGTCATGCAGTCAATGCTCGTTTAATTTGACTCATTATTGATCATCATATCAATTAAAAACAATACGTGCGTCAAATCATTCGAAAGATTTTTCAGTTTAATGACTCCGAGGTAAAAATTAAATAAGAATAAAGAGCCGGATGAAATACGATATGAAAACTGACGAGAGCCAATCTTGTTTCAGGTATCTTCCTTAACATCACGGGGAGCTCTAAAAGGTGACTCTTACATTTGCTTTTACCAGAGAATAACTAAAGAGTCTGACTGTTCCAAGGAAGGCAAA